ATTTCTCTTGAAGGGATGAGGGATTCCCATGTATGTTATTGAGAGATAAGGATTTCTCTCGAGGGGATGAGGATTTATCCTGCATACCGATAGCTCGACGCCGGTCGGGGCGTTGTACAAAATATAAGTTGTTTTGATAATTTTATGTACTTTTTAACTTTATTGACTATTGTGTGTGATCAATTTCATTTTGCAGTTATTTTTTTCATTGGTTAAATGATTTTAATTATATATATAAGATGATATTTTTTAGAAGAAAAATATTTTTTTAATATTCCGAATTTTAGCCAAAACGATGGAGTATAAGAGATCTTATAATATAATTCATTTTACCAAAATCATTCAGATTTAGTGGCAATTAAGAAAGAAAGTAGCTTTTATACTCTTATTTATATAAAAGCTTGAAAGGAGAATAATTGGGTTGGGTAATGCACGTGAAAGAAAGAACCCTTTCAATAAAAATGTTCGCCGGCTCCTCCCCATGCTTTGCGGCCGTCGAATCATTGATTTTCTTTTGAGGTATTTTGAGCCCGTTTGATCTTTCCGCTAAATTACGTAAACCCACATGTGTTTTTTTCAAAGCCAAAACCCACTTCGTTTAATAAGCGATGCTTTTGTGTGCTTACTTGATACCTTTCTAAGACTTTTTTCCCCCGACTGAAATGATATAAAATTGAACAGTATGGTGTTAATTTTCGAATTTTATCATTAAGTAAATTGTTTCCCGAATATTTCACTTGTCATTACTAATGACTCTTTACGTGAAATAGGCGAATTTGAATATTTTATCCTAGGGACAATTCTTGTGTTTGGACTTAGTCGATGGTTCTCTTAATTGGTTGATTATAATCACTTGATCTATCATTCTACATCAAATATTGAGACGACATCCACTCTGCTTGTTATCACTGAAGTTTTAAATTAAAATTCTGTAAAAGCTAAAAAAAAATTATCATGTTTTTAGAACATGAAATTAACTCTTGATTACGAGATTGTCCAAAAAAAAAGCTATTCCGCTTTCCGCATATAGGTGATAACATTTGCAAAGGAAAATAAAAACAAAGAAAATTACAAGGATTTTTAACGGAATTGAAAGCAAGTGTAACATATATATTCTCAAAATAATAACAAGAAAAATAAATAAAGAAAAGCATGTAGCAGTAGATTTATGACAAAGTAAAGGGAGGCACGGGGCTCGAGAGAAGAAAATGTTTGGAAAAACCAAAAGGAAAAACCAATAATGGAGGCGTTGAGACAAAGACCAATGCTTCTTTGCCTAATCGCCGGAATCTGCCGTGTTGTCTCACTTCCCTCCGACATGCGTCGACCCCACGCGCCTAATTTTTGCCCTTTTTAGTGTAATTAATGACTGGAATCCAAATTGACCGGTTCGATGAAATTCATCGGTTTACTATACATATGACAACGGTTTGGTTTTTGGTTTAATATCACACCAAACAAAGTCGAGTATGCGTTTGGAGATAGAGACTATCTTATGGGTTTGATTGGTAACCTTTTTTTAAATGAGGTACTTTTCAACCGCCCGTTTGTTACCAATCAAACGGTCGTTTGAAATGGGTGGTTGAAACGGTCGTTTGCAAAACACAGTTACAAACGGACGATTGATAAAAATGTCGTTTGAAC